AATAATTTCGAAAAACAGAAGGTTTTACAGATCAATCATTTTAAATCAAGAAATAACCAAAAAGTACAGGAGGTCCCACAGATCAACCATGTTAAACAAAGGTTATTTTGACCAAGAGGGTCATTAATTAGATAGCCAACAAAGCTATATGGGCACAAACTTTCAGGTGCCAGTTAGTAACTAGGTATCTATTAAGATTCTAGGAATTGGTCTAAATTAAAAGGGTGCAAGGGGTGATTTATAGGTATATAGAAATCAACTATTATCCTTTGAAGTTAAATTTTTCTCAGTTAGGTAACTGGTTTTTTGCCTAGGTTTTTTGATTTATACATCTTGGGGGGGCCATGTTTTGTGTTCGTTTCCATGTATTGAGATTATTATTTTCAACTAGAACTCCTTGCTGCTTTACACTCCTGTCCAGGGTGTGGAAGGGGTATTGGCTCTAATAAATCTTAAACTTTTGAGTGGTGACTCCTTAAGAAACATTCCTAGCAACAGCTTCCTTCAGCGTTCTGGCAGTTGGTCTGTCCATAGTTTAATTTTGTCCTTAACTTCCCAAGTGGGGGAAGCAGGAAACATTAGGGTTGCTAGGGGTCTCTATTCTGTGGTCAGCAAATCATTTTGTGCGGAATCAGAGGCATTGTGCAGATTTTTTGTTATAACACACAGGTATCCCAAAATCCCACCACCTATTGCTAGCAGGGACAGGCATACAGGAGGAGATAGACAGGAGATCTGGCCACAGTTGCCTCTGCTGTGCAGATGCATCTCATCTGTCCTGACTGTGTCAAGGGTTGGCTGTTGGTTTCATTGATCTTTTGTATTTTTAAGACTCTATTTTATTTATTTCTGCTCTGATCTTTACTATTTTCTTCCTTTTGCTCACTTTGGGCTTTGTTTATTATTCTTTTTCAAGTTCCTTTAGGTTTAAAATTAGATAGTTTATTCGAGTTTTAACTTGTTTCTTGAGATAGGCCTGTAATGCTATGAATTTGCCTCTTAGGACTGCTTTTGCTGGTCTCACAGATTTTGGGTTGTTGTGTTCTCATTTTCATTCGTTTCAAGGTATCTTTTGATTTCTTCCTTAATCTCATTGTTAACCCATACATTGTTCAGTAACATGATACTTAGCCTCAATGTCTTTGTGTGTTTTTCAGTTTTTTTCTTGTGATTGATTTCTAGTTTCACACCATTGTGGTCAGAGAAGATGCTTGATATGATTTCAATCTTCTTAAACTTATTGAGGCTTGTTTTGTGTCCTAACATGTGGTCTGTCCTAGAAAATATTCCATGTGCACTTGAAAAGTATATATATTCTGCTGCTTTGGGGTGAAATGCTCTGAAGATATTAATTAAATCCATCTGATCTAGTGTGTTGTTTAAGGCCCCTGTCTCCTTGTTGATTTTCTGCCTGGAAGATGTACCCATTGAAGTCAGTGGGTGTTGAAATCCCCTACCATGACTGCGTTACTGTCGATCTCTTCCTTTTTGTCCATCAAGATTTGCTTTACATGTTTAGGTGCTCCTATGTTGGGCGCATTTTTACGAGAGTTATCTCCTCTTGTTGGATTGCTCCCTTTATCATTATGTAGTGTTCTTCTTTGTCTGTTACTATATTCTTTGTTTTAACGTATTTTGCCAGATATAAGTATTGCAACCCCAGCTTCTTTTTCCTTTTCCATTTGCATGAATTATCTTTTTCCATCCCTTTACTTTTAGTCTCTGTGTATCTTTCATTCTGAGGTGGGTCTCTTGTGCATAGCATATATGTGGGCCTTCTTTTCTTGTCCATTCAGACCACTGGGATTCTTAGACTCCCCCCACTAGAGGGCTGGCTCCATGTGAATTTAGAACTTGGCACCTAGAAGTGCACATAGGTGCTTAAAAGGTGTTACTCGTACTATATATAGCACCGTTTTTGGCATTTCTTGAGGGGAGGGATGTTGTCTCCCTGTCTCACAGGGCAGGGTTGTTGAGCTGGGGGGTCTTGGGTGGGTCTAGATGGTGATAATAAACTGGGAAGATTGTGGTGGCCAGGGGCAGAAGCTCTCAGCTCTAGTTAGTGCTGGGGGAGTGTGTAGGGAATGCGGATCCCTGGGCCTGCCCCCAGAGGTCTTGCTTCTCCAGGTTTGGGACCATGCCCAGGATCCCTCATTTCCATTAAACACCCCGAGGCCCTCACTGAGCCAAATAGGCCGTTTCAGAGCTCCAGCTGGAGCTCTCTCATCATTAAACCCCTCCTTTGTGGCTGGCCCTCTGCTGGAGACACCGTGATTGAGCAGGTGTCTGGCAGTCAGGGCGGCCTCCTGCAGGGGTAGACATTGGAGCTGAGACCTGGAGGGTGACAAGGAGTGAGCTGAGGGCAGAGAAGCCCTTGGCTGTATCTCCAGTGTCCAGGCCCCCATTCCCCAGTGTCGTTCAGTTCACAAGCTGCCCCTGACCTGTGCTTGGCCCAGGGCGCTGAACAAGCAAGAATGATCAGAATGGCTCTTTCTCATGGCTTCAGGTCTGGCAGCGAATCATCCACTCGTTGCATCCATGGTCATAGCTGACTGCATGCCAGGCACTGTTTGAAGTGCCTTGCATGTACTTAGTGAATCCCCACAACAGTCCTACGAGGTGGGATCCCCACTTTACTGATGGGGAGAGGCCCAGAGAGGGGAAGTGCCTTGGCCAGGGACACGCTGTGGGTAAGTGGTAGGGCTAGATTCCGAGCTTGGAGTCCCAAGCTTGTAGCGTGTGCCATGCATAGGGTATGAAGCCACTTTTAGATTAGTGCTGGAGGAGAAGGAACAGAGTTATGGGGGGCACATGGAAAGTGGCCAGGGAAGGACACCTGGGTGATGACTAGAGGGACAAACATTCCAGTCCACTGTGGGGTGCTGGGCAAGCCTCAGTTTTACCCTCTGTGAAGTGGGGATGGTTACAACACCTATCAGAGAGCAGAATTCAGCATGAGTCTTTGATAAGTGTGCCCGGTCCTTATCTAAGGTAAAAGCTTTTGAGGGAAAGTGTGTGGGGGGGGGGGTCTGGACACCCCACGGGGTGGTGGTGGGCTGCAGTGTGCACTATGGAGATCTGGAATGTGGGGTGTCCCAAAGGGCTTTTGGACCTATACATTCCGGGGGTCATCATGGAAGGCTTCGGTCTGTATTCTGGGGAGTACCAGGAGAAGTGAGGAGGGGATGCTATCCTGCTCAAATTCACCCACATGGTGGGATGTGATGTCAGAATAGGGGCCAGGCTGTGTGTGTGTGTGTGTGTGTGTGTGTGTGTGTGTGTGTGTGTGGTGAATTGAAGAGTCCCACTAGGTCATGGCTGGGCTGAAATTGGTGGTGGTGGGGTGGGGCTGCAGGGAGTGGGAAACACCGTGGGGTGGAGACCGTCAGGGGTGGGGAAGTACCCACGTCTGGTGTGGGAGACGGTGCTGTGGATTTGTCTTCGGGGAGTCCAGCGTGGAGGACTGTCAGCTCCAGCCCTGGGGTGAGGGCTGTGAAATCTGAAATATCCAGGGGAGTGTAATTTAGGGGGAGGAGCCAGGGGCGGAGGTGTAACACTGGAACCCAGAGGGGGTCACCTTAGTGAAAGACCAGAGGGAGAGGCTGGGGCTGGGAAAGTGTGTGCACGCAGATGGCGTGATGTCATGAGGCCCCAGAAATGGGGTCAGGTGTGTGGGCCAGAGTGGGGTTCTGGGGTGTCCATACACAGTGCGCAAGGTTGAGGTGCTGACTTTGGGGTTGACTAGGGCAGAGCCTTGAAGGCTTGGCGGGGATGCCGGGATGCCGGGATGCCGGGATGCTGGGATACCGGGATGCCGGGACGTGGCCTGTAGAAGCTGAGGCGGGGAAGAGGAGCTAGGAGAGACGTGGAACTGGAACACAACCAGCCACCAGGAAGGGCCACTGGTCACAGAGCAGGGATAGAGGATGCAGGTAGAAGGACAGGGTCAGCTGGGGGACTGGGTTGCGGGAAGCAGAAGGGAGGGAGGGACTCCAGGCTTGGGGAATCCCTGGACGGGGAGGCGGGGAGCAGGTGGTGTTCAGGAGGGTCTCTCCAAAGGAGAAAGGGGTGGAAAATGTGAGCGTGGGGGAGAGGGGTTTACACAGGATTTGGGAGGGAACAGAATCCAGGCAAAATATTTGGGTGATGGAATACAGACTGAAAATGGGGTGTGTGAGGAGTAGAACCTTGGGATATGCAGGCAGAATCCTGGCGGATTAATGGGGGCAGAGAGCAAAATTCAGGTACTATACGGAGGAACCCCAGGAGAACATGGGGGCTGCTGCAAGGAGAAGGGAAGTGTGCCCCGCTCTGCGCCCCCTACTCTCGCTGAATCTGGGAGATGGGGATGGAAGAAAGGGACTTGGGGAGGGGGGGGTGGTCTTGTGAACTAGCAGAAGAGGGGCGGGGCTGGAATGTGGAGGGCGGAGGTTCTGCAGAGTGGAGGGAACAGGCGCACCGAACCTCCAGGCTGTCTGGGGAAGGAGCGATGGGGAGCTGGGGTCAGGAAGGGCGGGTCGAGTTTGCAGGGTGGGAGATTTATTCTATCAGCAATTGTTGAGCGCTCACCACGTGCCTAGAAGAGGGGATGGGGAGGGAGTGGCGAAGTTTGTGGAGGTGAGGGAGGCAGGTGTGTTAAGGGAAGGGTTGAATTCGGGCAGAACATTCACGGGCTTATAGCTGGTGACTGAGGGGAAGCTAATGTTTCATGGCTCCTGGATTTGGAAAGGTCCTTATTATGTAGTGAAGGGCTGCTATCTTCGGGGTGAGAATGGGGGCTTATGTGGGGGAGTGGGGGAGGAGGAGAGCTGGAAGGTTGCAGCAAGGATGGGGTGGGGCGGGCTCCCTTCCTCCTCTGTCCCCTCCCGGGAGTTAGGTACCACAAGTGGGGTGGTAACCGAACTCGGAAGTAGTGCGGTTCCCCGGGGTGTGTTTCGCAGCTGCTTCCAACGCCTTGGTAACCGAGATAGTGCCTCCGCTGATTGGCTCGTGGCGTCTGAGGGCAGGTCAGTGGGCGGGGTCCGGTGCACCTGTGGGGCAGGTCCAGCGTTGCCCGGCACCGGCTTTGGGGACCAGGGGATGAGGGGTATGTTGAAACGTGTGGCTGCACAGAGCTCCGAACCTCTCAGAGAATGGAAGCACAACTGCAAGAGTGTGAATTTTCAAAGGAAAGAGGTCTCCAGATTTTAGGAGCCCCGCCAAGACCAGAGACCCCTCCATCAAATAAAGTCAAAGTGAGCACCTCAACAATTGCTTGGGTCTAGGGACAGGTGCCTGTCAGGACTTGCGGGGCTCAGACGGTTGTCACTGGGCCTTTGAGAAAGGGAATCTGTCGATGAACCTGGCGGTGGTATTCGGGGAGCCCCCGAAATTAATTGCAAAAATATATGAGTCTATTCAGTTTATCTGGGGAAGGTTCAGAGATCTTACTAGATTCTCAAATGCTCACGACTTTCAAACGGCTGAAAATCACTGACCCTGAACTTCAGGGGTCATCATCTCTCCCTGACAACATGACATTCCTGATACCGGACTTCAGGAGGGGCTTCCTTGGGAATGTGGGAGGATGAAAGGAGGCGGTTGGGGAGAGGAGGTCAGGCATTGGAGAGGTCCCCATGACCGGCGTCTCGGGAAGCCCTGGGTGGCCCTGTCTTTGGAGCAGCAGTGGGACGCTGGGCAGGGCTCTTTGTCTCCCTGAGCCTCAGTTTCCCTGTCTGCACACTGGGGAGGGAATGGGCTTGCCTTATCTCCGTAGTCCCTGTCACGCTCAGAAACAACAAAGCAATAATAACGATGATGGTGCCAGTAGGTATTGAGTGCTTGCTGTATGCCAGGCGTGACTCAATTTCTCCAAGGGTTTTGACATGATTAGTTCATTCAGTCCTCGTACCCGTCAAGGAGATGGGGCGCTGTTCTCTTACCTAGGTGTCCGGCACGGGCATCACCTGGCCCGTATACCTCTACTGGCATCCTCCTCCCCCTCCCACCTCCTTGCTGCCCTCCTTGCTGTGCTTAGAACAAACTGGGAACTACTCACCTAGGGGCCCTTACCTGGCTGTTCCCTCTGCCTGGACGCTCTTCCCAGGCACTCACCTGGCTCTCTCCCTCCCTCCAGGCCGCTGAACAGAGGCACCTTCCCTGGCCACCTTAGCCAAAAGAACCCCCACCTCCCAGCATTCCTGTTCCCCACTACTTGACACTTTTCTACCTCTGACTCCTTGCCATCCTCACTGAGGGTGGGACTGCAATCCGATCCCTGATCCCCAGCCCCCAGGGTGGCCTGTGGTTTAAAGATAAGGAATCTCTAAAGATAAGGAATCTAGGCTGTACTAAAATTGGAACAATACAGAGAAGATGAGCATCACCTCTGCCCAAGGATGACACACAAATTTTTGAAGTGTTCCATATTAAAAAAATAAATAAATAAAGATAAGGAATCTGGCTCCAGGAGAGGTTAAGTAACCTGCTCGTGTCTGCACACGTAGCTGAACCTGGACGTGACCCAGGCAGCCTGCGGCTGCCACCCTGAAGCAGCCCCCGGACTCCGGGCCGAGGTGGAGCCCTGACTCGCTTCCAGCTCCTCCACTCAAAGAGCTGACAGTAAGTCATAGCTCTACTGGCTGAGAGAAAGTTCTTGTGCTTACGACAGACTAATTAATAAAATCAATGTTTAATTCAGTGTGAGTGATTTACATGTCATTGATAGTATGTAGCACTGGGTGTTCTCTCAACGTGGACCACTGTCCCTGTACGGTCAGTCATGGCCGCTCCCTGGCCGCCTTCAGTTTTCTGCTCAGATGTCAGCCTCTCACAGAGCCTGCCTTGCCCCCTCTTTAAACTCTCTGCCTCACCTCACCTCAGGACTCTCTGTCCCCTTTCCAGCTAGACTTGTCTCTACAAATGTTTGCTGATCAATGGGTGAAAATTAAGTATATAACAAGTATAGAGATTAATAAATAATAGTATTAATCATGATTGTCTTTTTAAAAAAGGATTTTATTTATTTATTTTTAGACAGAGGGGAAGGGAGGGAGAAGGAGAGAAACATCAATGTGTGGTTGCCTCTCTTGTGCCCCCTACTGGGGACCTGGCCCACAACTCAGGCATGTGCCCTGACAGGGAATTGAACCAGTGACCCTTTGGTTCACAGGCCAGTGCTCAGTCCATTGAGCTACACCAGCCAGGGCTTACTCATGATTCTCTTGTTGGAAATCATATATGCTATCAGCCAGCATGTATTGGGCATAGTCGTGTGCAGGAAATAGTCCTGAGTGCTTTTATGTGCACTGTCCAATTTAATCCTCATGGCAACACCATGAGGTCAGTGCCATTATTATACCCATTTTCCAGATGAGGAAACCAAGGCACAGTCTCTTTCCTAAGCTGCCACAGCTGGTAAATGGTGAAGCCAGGAATGAATCTGGCCTTCCAGCTCCTGAATCTGGGCTCTCTGTCTTGTCCCCTCCTCCAGTGACACTGGCCATGGACCAGCCAGCTGGCCTGCAGGTGGACTACATGTTCCGGGGTGTGGAGCATGCCGTGCGGGTGTTGGTGTCCGGGCAGGTACTCGAGCTGGAGGTGGAGGACCGGATGACGGCTGACCAGTGGCGGGGCGAGTTCGATGCCAGCTGTGAGTGTGCCTGCCCCAGGGGGGGTGCCCCGTTCTTCCTCGGGGTCAGCTTCTCCAAGAAGATGAGCCCACCTGGGATCCTGCCCACCAGCCTCTTCTGCCAGACCAGAAAAGTTCTGAGATTGGGAGGGGGTGTAGGGCTCATTCCTCAGGCCAGAGGCACTGGGGTCAGGGAAAGTTGGAAAGTCTGGATGCATGGCCCTTGGATGGGGCGAGTGGTCAGACTTCAGGAAGAACTTTTCTCCCCACTCAGTCATTGAAGATTTGACTCACAAGACAGGGAACTTCAAACAGTTCAACATCTTCTGTAACATGCTGGAGTCAGCCCTGACCCAGGTAGGGACCGGGGCTGGGGGCTGGGGGCCGGGGGTGGGATGCCTGGGGGGTGGTAGATGCCCATCTGATGTGTGTGAGATTGTGAATCTTCTCCTTCATCGAAGGGGCGGGGCTATTTCTTTCCTTCTTTTCCAAATGGGAATGGCTTATTGATTCTGATGAGAGTTATTCTCATGAAGAAAATTCAGGCCACAGAGGAATGTAAAGAAGACAGGAAAAATTGCTTTACTGCTAATCCTCACTCCTGGTAATATTTTGGTGAAAATCACTCTGGTTGTTTCTCCATTTCTCTATTTATTTGTGAACTTCCGTGAGTGTGCGCGTGTGTGTGCATTTAGATCCATAATGGTCCAGGGTGAGGCTAAAGTAGATTTACAGTTGTGTGTATACGAAACAGGGTTTATTCTTGTATTCATATTTATTAATTATTGTGTTATTTTCCACATGAACAACTGTGACCCCACTTCTGCCTCTCCCAGTATATGTAGTTGCTGTATTTCCCAAGCTATTCTGTAACCTGCTTTTGAAAGATTGAATGATATTTCATAACAATGTGGTCACATCCGTGCCCAGGGCCAGTCATTCCTTTTGTCACTGCTGTTGGCATGGAGATACGGCAGCGAACAAGGACACCAAGGTCCCTGTCTGCATGGAGCTGACATTCCAGTGGGAGCGACAGACAAGGGAAAATCAAGTCTCATCAAATGGTTAAAAGTAGTAATAGGGGAAAAAAAGCAGGCTGAAACTTAGAGTGTCAGGGAATGTTACTCAGATGTCATTTGAAAACTGGGACCTACGTTATCTCTCTGATTGCAGATAAAATATGCACCCGTGTAACTGCGACAGCAGTAGTGTGGGACCTAGAAAGTGAGAGTCCCTCTTAACCCCCTTCCTGCCTCCTACCCCAGACTGTTAACGTTTCGGTATCTGTAGACATGATAGCTCGATCCCCAGGAGCAGGGAGTCGGAATTCCAGCCCATCACTGCCACTTACTAGCCAGAGCCTGGGCCAGTTACTGTCCCCCTCAGTGCCTCAGTTTCCCTGTCTGTAACGTGGGGGTGACAGTAGCCCCTGTTCCATAGACTTGTGAAAATTAGATGACTTACATGAAAAAGTTTAGAATAATGCCAGGCTTGTAACAAGAGCTGTATAGGTATCATCTGTTTTTATTATTGATGATGTTTGAGTTTGCCATCCTGGTTAGTGGTTGCTCGGTGTTCCAGCGTGCTCATTCGCCATGATATCTTGAACCCAGTGGTGCTGAAACGCCTTGGTGTCAAGATCCCTTTATACTTGACATAATTTAAAAATTATTGAGGATGCCAATGAGCTTTTATTTATGCAGGATTTATCTATCAATATTTGTTGCCACATTATAAATGAAAAAAACAATTTAAAGATATCTATTAATTTATTTAAAAATAACAATAATAACAAAACTGTTATATGTTAACCTCAATAACATGTTTATGAAAAATATAATTTCTAAAACAAAAGAAGAATGTAGCATTGTTTTACATTTTTACAAATCTCTTTAAGGTCTGGCATCATAGAAAACTCCTGGATTCTCCTGTGTGTTCTTGCATTCAGTCTATTGTGACAGGTTTCAGCTGAAGTGTATGCAGGAATAAACTGCCTTCAGTAGACATGTAGCTGGAAAGAGAGTCCTTTAGTAGCTTTTTCAGATAATTGTGTGTATCCTTCTTAGCTAACACGTTAAAACTGGACAGGTTGGTTGCAATGTGGAATCAGAAACCATAGCAATGAACTCTCTGTGTTCTGTGATAAAACTTACTGGTGCATCTGGCACTTTGCCTGGGTGTTTTGCCCGTTTTGTAACATCCCGTGTTGGTCATTTGGAAATATTGGTACATTGGTTGTGCAGCTCTTCCAAATGTCGCCACATTTCATTATCCAATGTCCGGAGGTCACGTTTGTTAACATCCTCACTGATCTCATCAGGAGAACCTTTCAGCACCCAGAGGCTGTCAAACACACGGTGGCAGACCCAAGGTTTCCCAACTTCCAGTTTTTGCTCTGACGTTTGAGTTTTATCATTGGCAACAAACACTGTCAGCTGTTTTTTTGGACGTGGCAGGCTCACTGTGTTCGTTGTTGAGAAAATGCCTGCCAGACATCCGAGGCCAAATGACCCCGGTTCTGTCGGGTAAAAGTAGCGTTCAGTGGAGCAGTGGCTGCCTTCGCTCCAGGCACAACGGCACAGATGCTTTTCCTGAGACAACGGTTGCGCTTGGGTGTGCTGCAGGAGGCATGCTTCCGAGTGTGTCACAGAGTCGTGCAAAGCCGTGTACAAGAGGGTTGAGCTGCAGTGAAATTAATCATTTTTACAGCATTATTAAGAACATTCCCAGGGTTCATTTCCTGTTATCTATCTCTCCCTCCCTCCTGCCCACCCCGCCCCTGAGATTACGAGGTGCTGGAGAATACAATGCCCACTAGTACGTTTGTGCCACTGGCTGAATTTCTGCCAATGGACACCAACATATTTACCCACCCCTACTTTTGCACCATTAGTGCAAATGTCAAGACAGTGAAAAGGGCAATGACATCTTAGCATCATTATGCAAACTGTGTTAACCTCTTGGACTCCTTGAAAGGGTCTCAGGGACCCCAGGGGTTTGTGGACAGTACATGGACAGCCACAGTCCTAAGGTGTCCCCCATGGCTGAGCATTTAGGCTCTTTCTAGTTTGTCCCTCTGATGAGGCCCTGGTGCCAGCACCTTGGACAGGGCCATGGTGTTCCTCAGGTTCAGATGGGAAATAGCCCTGAGAAGGTGGCCCAGGTGTGCGGGCTGTGAGCTCTGGGCATGGCCATGTTGGGTCTCATGGCAGCTCCGCCCACCCTCTCCCAACAGAGCAGTGAGTCGGTGACCCTTGATCTACTGACCTACACGGATCTGGAGTCCCTGCGGAACCGCAAGATGGGGGGTCGCCCAGGCCCCTTGGCCTCGAGGTCGGCCCAGCTCAACTCCAAGCGCTACCTGATCCTCATCTACTCTGTGGAGTTTGACAGGTGGGACAAAGGGCTGGCTCTAGGTCCAGGCTAGTGGGCAAGTGGGAGAGGGTGTGGTTAGACCTCAGGAACCCCCGATACCCAGGGCAAGGTAGGGATGTTGCCTAACCCGGCTTTTGTAATCTTCACTGTTGAGGTTTGTATCATTTAGTATAGTGTTTGGTTACAAGTAGCAGGATAGCTGTTACCAGTGCCTTAAACAAATAAATTTATCACTTGACAAGATGTCTAGGTAGGTGGTGGCAACTCAACAGTTTTATAAGGAGCCGCTGGCTCCTTATGGGATTTTTTGTTTTGTTTGTTTTCTTTTGTCATCCTCAATGTGTTTGCTTTTTGATTTCATCCGTATCTCTTCATGGTGACAAAATAGCTGCTGGACCTCCTGGCATTGCATGTGTATCAAAGCAGGAGGAAGAGGAACAGGGCTGTGCTTGCTAGTTGCATCTACTTTTTTTATCAGGAAAAGAAAAGTGTTCCCAGCAGACTCCCAGCAGATTTCCCATTATGTTTGGCTGGAAATAGTCACATGCTTTTCCCATAATGTTTGGCTGGAAATGGCATCCCTTTCAAAAGGGATACTGGGAATATGAATGTCTGTCTTTGTGACGGGAGGCAGCAAGGGAGAAGGCCGCTGGGAATGGCAGTTAGATAGCTGGGGAAAGCATCTGCTCCCTTTGTTAGTAGCTCCTGGATTTTCTAGTGGGAAGTTATTAATCTCCTCTGAATAGCACCTGGTGGGGCAGCTTATCAAGGTGCTCTACCTTCCTCCAGCCAATGGGGACCCAGGTCAGGTCATCTGGAGTCTCCTACTATGGAATCTTGGTTAGGACTGTGCTTGGCTGCACGTAACATGGCCCAGCGCTTCCACAATTGCTATGTAAGAGGGTCTTGGGGGAGGCTGACTGGTGGAAAGCGGGCAGGGAGGGAGCTCAAAGCTGCCTTTGGAATTTAAGCCTCTAGGAATGTGAGGCCTTTGGAACTGTGTGTTTTCCTACCCTAGGTGCTCAGGGGCAGGTAGATACCCTCAGGGATTCTTGGCCTCTGAGCCCTGGTTCTAATCCTCCCCAGGATTCACTACCCGCTGCCCCTCCCGTACCAGGGCAAGCCGGACCCTGTGGTCCTTCAGGGCATCATCCGCTCGCTGAAGGAGGAGCTGGGTCGCCTTCGAGGTCTGGACGGCCAGGACCCTCGGGACACCAGGGATTCTGAGATCTGGCACCTGCGGGAGCAGTGAGTCTGGGAAGGGTGGGCAGTTGGGGCGTGGGGTGGGGGCACATCTCATCATGCACTGCGGGGTCCTATGCCCTGCGCTGTTGGGAGGATGCCAGTCCCTCATTCACGGAATATTCTACGCTCTCCTCTGTGCCCTCCTTATGCTGAGTGGTGCTGGGGAAACAGTGTCCGAGACAGTTCTGGCCATGCTGTCCTGGGACTCTCAGTCCCATAGGCGAAATCTGTGCAGATGCAGTGGGCGGGGTGGGGGATCTCGGAAAGGGTGCGTGACCCAGCTGGGTAATTCCAGGCCCAGGGAACGACATGGGGACATGGGCGAAGACAGAGTAGGAGGAAGTGCTATACCCCATGCTTCTTTTATTCTGGTCCCCTCCCTGACCCTCATGTGAGTGACAAAGACAGGGGGCAGGTAGACATTGACCACATAACTACCCAAGTATGTCACTGTGAGTGGAGGTGGAGTTAGTTAGGGAAGGCAGCTTGTGCTTTGGAAGGCTGTAACAGGAACTGGGTGGGGTCTTGGGGAGGGTCAGAGGATGGGGTGGGGAAGAGCATTCTAGGCAGAGGGAACAGCATGTGCAAAGGCCTTGTGTTAGGTGGCATGTGGTGAGAACAAGGGTCTGGAAGAGTGAAATGAAGTGAGCAAAGGCATTTGACATATTGAGTGCCTGCTGTGTGCTCTGGGCTGAGGGGGAGCTGAATTGGGGGCTTGGTCTCCACCTGGAGGAGGCCCCACATGTTGGGGAGGGCTAGTATTTTCAATAGTAGTAGCAATAATAGTAATAATCAATAGTAGTAGTAGTAGTAGTATTAATACCAGTTGCGAATGTTTTTGAGCATTTAACTGGGTGCCAGGGACTCTGCTCAGTGCTTTATGATTTTAATGCATTTAATGCTCACAAAGTAGGCATTACTTATTGTCCCTACTTTACAGAGGAGGAAAGTGAGGCCCCAAGAGGTTAGAGTACTTGCCCAAGGTCACACAGTGAGTAATGTGGCCAAGCTAGACTTGAATCCTCGCAGCCAGCACCAACTGCCCTCCTCTTCTCCAGCCACTGTGTACTGTTGGCAGCTGCTAGCCCGGGACTGAGTGAGCCCTCAGTGCTGACTGGGAGAACCAGGCCTCTCCTCTCCCGGGTGTGAGAGCTCAGGGCGCTGCAGGACCCTGCGGGTCCTCCTGGAGGAGCTTGGCTGTGCAGTGCTGGGAGCAGGACGAGCTTTACCTTCCATTCATCCTCCTGAGCTGCGCTTGTTAGCTCGCTGGGGCCTGGTGGGTGCGGGCCTGTGTGCGTGTTTCCCGGGATGGCCACGAGGTGGCGCACTCTGCACGGAGATCCCACAGCTTGACAGTGGCTTCTTTTCCTTCCCAGTTTGGAGTTAGGGAGTTTGGGAGGACGCCAGCATTTATTCATCCATTCATCCAACACTTACCGAGTTCATGCTGTGTGCTGGGCACGCTACCCGGCACTATTAATGTTTATTGAGGTCTTAGTGCCAGACCGGGTCTCTACAACTTTATCGGTACGTGTTACTATTGTCTCACCTCACGGAGGTGTGAAGGGACGCTGCCCCAGGTCACCCAGCTTGTAATGGATGTGGGCAGCCCGGCCACAGAGCCCACCTAATGGCCAGACACCTGGTGACCGTCCTCATAGGGGGAGGATCCAGACAGAAAACACTGATAAATTACCAGCTAGGAAGCTAGGAAGGAACGTGCAGCCAGCCAGGAGAGCGGAGAATAGGGATCTGACCTGGCGGTGGGGGGGTGGGGGGGCGTGGGGGGGTGGGACAGTCAGGCTTCCCTGGGAAGTGATGTTTGAAGGATGGGTGGAGTCATTCCCGCCTGGAGAAGGAGAGTTCTAGGAGGAGGGAGCTACTTTTGCCAAGAGAGGCTTGGCTGGAGCCCCCCAGAAGAGGGAGTGGGAGATGGGGGGGAGGGGAGACCTCTGCTGGAAGGGGCTGAGTGGGAAGCTCCTTGGAGAGCTTGGGGGAGCCACAGATTTTGAAAAATACTTTATTGGGAAAAATTTCAAGCACACACAAATATAGACAGTAGTGTAATATGTGTGTACTTGTGCCCTGGCTCCAGCGGTCGAGACATTTTGCCCATCTTGTTTGACTTTTGTCCCCCCTCCCCAAAGAAGCGAATGCTAGACATTCCTCTTCTGTAAACGCTCAGTGTGGATCTTTAACATACAAGGGCATTTAAAAGAAAAACGCAAGCAGTGTTATTACATACAAGGAAATGAACAAAAATTCCTTACTGTGTGTATGTGTTGATGTTTCTCTGATTATCTCACAAATGTCTTTTGTAATTGGCTTGTGTGATAATACCTGAATTCAGCTACACTTTGCAATGTGTGATGTACTTCTTAAATATCTTAATTTATTAGTCTCCCCCTTTTTCATGCTACTTATCTGTGGAGGAAGGCAGGTATTTGTCCTATGGAGTTTCCTACAGTGTAGATTTTGTTCACTTTGTCTCCATGGTTAATGTGTTGCCCTGTTTTCCATATCTCTGGTGAAGTGCTTATCCAGCCTATAAGGCGAGTGAGATTCAGGGTTTTGAAAGACACCTCCCGTAGGGGGGCTGTGTTCCTGCCTCCTGTTGGGGGCTGCTGGGACTGACGCCATCCAATGTTGAGAGCTGGATCCCTCTCTTATGAAGTTCCCTTCTGCCCAGCACATCTTGGTTGTTCTCATTTGCATTTCCCTACTCACCGATGAGGCTGAGTGCTTTTTTGTGTGTTTATTAGTCACTTGGGTTTCCTCTTATGTGAGTTACCTATTCACCTATCATGTCTGTTTTTCTTCTGGTCATCTATTTTCTATTGGACTTCCAGGAGTTCTTCATATAGACTAGATGTGAGCCCTTTGTTACTTTATATGTGTTTCAGAAACCCTCCTCTCCTCCTTCCCCTAGCCTTGTCACTCTCTTAATAGTGTCTTCTGAGAAACATCGTGTGAGAGAGAACATCATGTATTGGTTGTCTGTTGCATGTGCCCCAAACCCAACCAGGGAATCAAACCTGCAACCTAGATATGTGCCCTGACTGGGGATTGAATCTGCAACCTTCTAATGCATGGGATGATGCTCTAGCCAACTGGGCCATCTGGCCAGGGCTGCAGGTTACTTCTTGTACACCCCCGGCTGGGGACCTGGCCTGCAACCCAGGCATGCATGTGTCCTGGCTGGGAATCGAACCTGTGACCTTTTGGTTTGCAGGCCAGCACTCAGTCCACTGAGCCACACCAGCCAGGGCTGCAGGTATTCTTTCTGATGCTCATATTGTCTTTGGCCAGTGGGAACACCGTCATTTTGGCTCCTACATCGTTTTGAAATGACCCTAGTAACCGTTGATGGCTTCCTTGTGTTCTGGCATGTCAAGCTGTCTTGGACTTTCTTTACCTTTCTAGTCTCAGAATTAGTATAAGGAATTTTTCCAGGGAGCTCTGGTTTCTTTTAGCGGAAAATTGGATTTAGAGATCACAGTCTGGTTGCTAGGGTGCTCTTTCCCATTGGGTGGACATTGCTTTCACACCTTTTTAGTGGAAAGAACAAGAAAGTAGATACATTTTTAGAAACAGAAAAATGTCTGTGTTGATTTAACCTCTTTTGTTTGTATGTCTTTTTCTCATACTGATGGTCTTAGTTTCTAGTAATAGTAACATATTTTCTTTCTTTATCCTAATACCAATATAGTTACTACTAATAAGGGTACTGAATGAAGTTCAAGATTTTTTTTGCAGTTCTTTTTGTCCTTAGGCTATTTCCTGCTTGCTAAAATAAAGTTCCTTTTTTGTCGCTTGACACCATTCTCCAACATGCCACTAATTCTGATATAGTTAGATGTGCTTGAGCCAGTTTCTTTGAATAATTTTAGTGATTGCTTTTGTTCAAGCTTACTTACATAAATTATTTTCATAGTTCCAATTTCAAAATGAAAAAAGAGGGTACATTCAGAGGGGTCCGGCTTGTATCCCTGTTGCCACCTCTGTTTTTTCTTTTTAAATTTTTTGATGTATCCTTATATATTTTTGAAAATATACATATGAACATATATAATTTATAATTCCCCTTTTTATTTTTCATAAAGAGACATACTAAACATTCTTCTGTACTGTGTTTGAACATATCCTGGCTATCACTCGGTGAGAAGAAACAGAAATCTTCCTCGCTCCCTCCTACAGTTGTGTGGTCCTCAGTTTAGTGGATGTACCACATGAATTCAACTAGCTCTTTGTTGGTGTACATTTGGGTTATTGCCACTCTTTTGCAATCACAAATAGTGCTGCAAGTCATGCCTTGTGTGTGCATCTTTTTCTCAAAGAAGGGTTTCAAGCACTGTAGTGACCTGATTGTATCTGCATTTTAGAAAGTCCTCTGGTGAATGGGAGGCAATGAGACCCCGCTAAGGGGTAAAGGGGAGGCTGGGCTGGGGTCAGCATCTCAAGGTTAGGCTTTGAGGTTATAGAGAAGGACAGATCAATGATATGTAATTAGAACTCAACCCAGCTGTGTCCACCCGTGGTATGGATGGGGGTGATGTGGCTGTGTTGCTTGTCACGTGAGAGGTGGAGGAGGGGAGATGATGGGACCATGGGGGCAGCTGGGAGTGTGTTGGGTTCCCCCTTTGTGAGGGAGGTGAAATGATGGTGTGTGCCCACTTCCGTGGAGGAATGGGGATGATGAGACCGTGCCCCTCTGCTACCCCCAGCCCCTCTGCTACCCCCCGCCCCCCAAGCTCTCGCTTTCTTCTCTTTATCCCCTCCGCCCAGGGTGTCGCGCCTGGCTTCTGAGAAGCGAGAGCTGGAGGCCCAGCTGGGCCGATCGCGCGAGGAGGCTCTGGCTGGGCGGGCGGCGCGCGAGGAGGCCGAGGCGCTGCGCGGGCTTGTGCGCAGCCTGGAGCTGGAGCTGCGGCAAGAGCGCGGTCTCGGGTACCGCGGGTCCGGCCGCCGCAGCCAGGACTGCCGCCGCCTGGCCAAGGAGGTGAGGGAGTGCGGCGGCTGGCAGGGGCGGCTTGCGGGGACGCAGACCTGGGTCACAGACTGGACCTCTGCGCCCCTGTCCATTCCCGCAGCTGGAGGAGGTGAAGGCGTCGGAGCGGAGCCTGCGCGCCAGACTGAAGACGCTGAACAGCGAGCTGGCCTCGTACCGGAGGGGGTGAGGGGCGCGGCCCTGGTGGGCGGGGCCTCGGAGCAGCCGACCTGGACTGCTGGTGGGCCAGGGGCTAGCGGCTCGAAGTCTGAGGGAAGTTGGGCGGGGCCCGCGCTTTACAGAGGGTAGGTGGAACCTGAGAGTGGGCGGGGATGGTGGGGCAGGCGGGGCCTAGTGGACTGCCTGCAGTGTAGAGGACTCGGAGAGTTGGGAAAGGTGAGTGGGGTCTGGAAAGATGGGCAGGGCTTGAGGTGGCATTCAGGAGGTTGGTGTTGGACGAAGGGACCAGGGGAAGGGGCGGGACCTAAAGGTCCAGCAGAACGAGAAGGGCGTGGCCCAGCAGGTGGGAATCTGGGTGATTTCTGCAGGGTTTTTTTTTTTTGCGGGGGGAGAGGGTTGGAAAATTGGTGAGGGAAAACCAGGGAACTATGGGAAACCTCAGGAAGAAGGGTCAGGTGAAGAAGGTGGTTAGAATGTAGGGAAGTGACAGGTGGTGCTTTTTGGAAGGGATGATGGGGCTCCGCGAGGGGCGGAGCCTGGGAGAAGGTTCCTGGAGGGTCGTATAGGTGTGCGAGGGGGTGAATGTCCAGAAACTGATGGACCTGAAGGGTGGAAGATGGTGAAGTCTGAGAAGAGGACTGGGATCGGAGTTGTCACCGCGCGTGGGAGACTGACAGTGGGACCTGTGCTCCCAGGAGACGGACTCCGCCAGTGGTGCCTCACCCAGCCCGGGAGGGCCGGGCTTCGTCGTCCCGGGAGCGCTCCACGTCCCGTGGCCGCGGCGCCGCCCGCTCCTCATCGAGGGAGAGTGGCCGCGCGGCCCGGGGTCGAGGCCGCCCTGCCTGCCCCTCGCCCTCGCCCATAGGTGTGTGCCCTGCCCTGCCCTGCCCTGCCCGTGGGAGGGGGTGGGACGGACTAGAGCGGTGGAGGCATTATCCTGTGACCGCAGTCGCCTCTTCTCTCCACACCCTTCCACTCCGTCCTAGGTGGTCGCATGCCTCGTTTTGACCCCACAGCCTTTGTGAAAGCCAAGGAGAAGAAGCTGAGAGAGATCAAGATGAAGTTAGCGTGCATTTCCTTCTCACCTGCCCATATCCCTGCCCCTTTACCTAGTCCTCTGACCCGAACCCTCGTCTCTCCTGGTCACCCATTCTGTCTCCATCACCTGTCACCTGCTCCATCTCTTCCCTTCCCTCGCGTGACCTCAAGCGAGTCACTGGGCCTGGCAATGACTCACAGGGGTGCAGCGAGGCCCTTCCCCGAATTAGCCAGGCGCACAGGCATGCATTTCATTTCGGTTCCCCAGGCAGCAGCGGCAGCGGAACCGACTGGGCAGTGGAGGAAGCGGGGACGGGCCGTCTGTCTCCTGGGCTCGCCAGACTCGTCCCCCTGCTGCCGTGACCGGCCGAGGGGACGCAGCTAACCGCTTCCGAAACCGCAGCTCCTCGGGTAACGGGCTGGAGCACGCCGGGCGGGGAAGGAGGGCTGGGCAGCACGAGGGCTGGGCGGGACTGGCGGGCGCCGGAGGCTCACCATCTCCTCCTCCCTCTAGTGGACAGTTTCCGCAGCCGCTGCTCGTCTGCCAGCTCCTGCAGCGAGTTCGAAGATTTCTCTGAATCCCTTCCTAGAGGGTAAAATTTGGGCCGGCGGAAAGGACCTCCAACATATAGACGTCTGGGGAGACTGGGAACAGTCTGTTGCAGGCAATTTGAGTGATGGAGCTTTGAAACCGCAGAGGAGGGTGAGGTGGGAGGTGCCAAAGACTCCTCCCATTGGTCCTCCATTCCTTCCTCCCTTAGCTCTCGCCGGCGCCTCGGGAAGACCCCCAGTCCCACAACCTTGAGTGGGTCCAATACGGTGAGTGTCATTCCTCAGGCCTTGGGGGAGGCAGGGTCAGCACTAAACCACCAGAAGCCTATGCGTTTCTCCCTGATTGTATTCTGGGGAGCAGGTTGCCAAAGCACCTGTGAAATGTCTCTGGACAGGGAGTGTTTTGAGACCACTGGATTGCAGGGGAGAATGGGCTGGCATGAGGTCGGGGCAGAGGACGCTGGTTAAGAGCCCCACAAATTGCCTCCTACCCCCTGTGTGACTCCAGGGCGGTTAGTTACTCAGCCTCTGCCTCAGTTTCTTGATCAGTTAAATGGGGATGGTAATAGTATTCATCTCAGAGGGTTTTGATGAAGATACAAAGTTATTTTGTATAGGTGCCTGGAAGGTGTCAGCTCTTATTTTTTCCTGAGATCCTTAGGTTCAGAATTTCTGGTGGGATTTGGGGGGCAGGAGGAGAGGGAGGGTGCTCACCTCTCTCATGCCTCCCCCCCCTGCAGAAGTCCACCCCCTTGGGACGTGGGCGCCGTCAGAGACACCTGGCCAATTCTGGGGGCTGGGTCCCCATCAAAGGTGAGCCCAGGACTCCATGCCTCCCCCTCACATGCCCCAGAGCCTGCCAGGGTGGCACTGAGGCCATTGGCACTCCCTGTGGCCTGAGGCCCCCCACACCGACACCTGCTTTTACAGAGTACAGCTCCGACTACCAGGCCGCTGACATGGCGGAAATAGACGCCCGTTTGAAGGCCTTGCAGGAATACATGAACCAACTGGACACGCGGTCCTGAACTGGTAGAGGGATCACTGTCCCTCCAGCCCCTATCCACCCTGGATTTGGCGTGTTGGAGGCGGGGCTGGTGTGTCCTTCCAGCGCCACCCAGGCCCGCCCCTCCAGGTGCTCTTGGGGTCTCAGGTGTGTGAGGCCCTTACACACACCTCCAGCTCCCTCAGGCAGTGCATGCTGGGAGGGAGGGTCTGTGCCTTTTGTAAATAAACGTTTTTGTACTTGGGATCCCTCAGCTTGTGACTGAAGGATAGGGGTAGTGGGAGTTGGGGGAGATATGAGGACTGGGAGGAGGTTTCTTTGGGACCTGTGTGCATTTCTGGGCATGTCTGTGACTGAGGACAGATTAGGGGTCAGGCTCGGGGAAAATCTTGCACTCCCTGAAGCAGTGAAAGCTGCCAACCTGCGGGGTGGTAGTGAACCGCCCGTCCCAGAGGGGTCCAAGCAGAGATTCTGCACAGGATGTCTGTGGCCGTTTGGTGGAGAGGGGTGTCTCATAGTATGATGCACTGCCTGCCCCCCCGCCACACACACACAGCTGCTGCCAGAGACACCTGGGCTGACCTGGTGCTGACTCCTGTGCTCTGACCTCTGGGTTCTGAGCTGCGCTGTTGCTTTGGAGCTGGTGCCTTGGTTCAGGGTCAGAGCCCTTGGTTCAGGGTCGGAGCCCTTGGTTCTGAGCACCAGTGAGGACCGAGTGCTTGCTGGAGGTAGCTGAGTGTCTGTGGGAGGGACGTGGGGATGGGAGGCAATCGGCAGACACAGGAGCACAGTTTGAGCGGCGCCTTTATTGGGCGGGGGAGGCTGTGGGATTCTGACTGTGGGTGGAGAGAGGGCCTCACAACCTGTAGTGTGGCCACTCTTGGATGATGTCGTAGAGCCGATCGCCTGGAGACAGGGTCTGCTGCACATCCCGGTGCCCTTTGAGCTCGTAGTCAGGGGTCAGAGCGTTCAGAGCCACTCCGCAAGCTAACAGACTCCTGGCTGCCCGGAGGGCCCGGGGCGCGGGTGACCGCTCTGCAGTGGGGACAGAGGCAGGAGTTGAGCTGGAGCTTCCTCGGGGGCAGCACTAGTGTGGGGTAGTGGTTCCATTTGGGCGTCCCCAGAACCCCAGCTGCCTCTCCCTAGCCGTGACTCAGTCTCTCTGTGCCTCCGTTTTCCGCATGTGCAGGAGAATAATGGCCCTGCCACAGGGCGGTGGCATCACAAAATGAGCTGCTTTGCGTAAAGCCCACTGAACGGCGCCTGGCACTGCCCTACTGCTCACTCTCCCTGGGGCCCTGGGCCTGTGGGTCCTACCCACGGCAATGCTGTCACCAAGTGCTTCTTAGATGCCGTGTTCTGATTGGCCTAGGAACCTTCGTACAGAGTTACTCATCCTCATCCCAACCACATGGTTGAAAATGGTCATTATCCAAAAAGGAGGAACCGAGGAGCAGGAAAGCAGAGTCATGTCCAGGGTCACAGAGCTCGTGCGTGGAGGAGCCTCTCCACAGCCACAAGCCATGCCCTGCCGACTCCTGGCCCAGAGGCAGCCCTTCTCCCACGTGGCTGAACACTCACCCATGAAGTTGCCCATAAAGGTGATGCCGATGGCTTTGTTGTTCCAGAGACTTGCGTGGTCACCCATGAGTTCCCAGCCCCGGCCCTCATACACAAGCCCGTCTTCTCCGATCAGGAAGCTGTGATGGGGGTGAGGGAGGGAGGTTGGTGAGGGAGGGAGGGCTTCCGGGAAGAGGGCTTCCTCTGCCCCCTCCACCACTTGCCCTGCCCCTCTGTTCTTGCCAGTCACAGCCCCCCCCCCCCCACTCCCCAGCCTTCCTCAGTAACAACAGTGGCAGTGGCCCCTAAAATGCCAGGCACAGCTCTGTATGCACCCATTCTCATCCTCGCAGTAACTCAGGGCCCAGCTGCTCCCGTTCTGCAGATAACCAGAGAGGGGGAGACACCTGCCCATGGTCACGCAGTTGGTGGGGGGGCAGAACCAGGGTTCTCACCCAGGTCCTGTGACTCCCACCCCCAGGGTCTGATTCCTTGCTCCCTCCCGCCGCCCTGGAGGATTTGCTGGGCTCCACTCTGCTGAGGCTTCACATGCGTGCGGTCGGTCTGTCAGTCACCTGAGGCGGTATTGTTGGCGTCCCTACTTGAAGCTGAGGGAGCAGACTTAGAAAGAGAGGTGATTTGCCCCAGCTCATGTCCCAGAGGCCCCTGCTTAGAAGTTGCCACAGAGGAGCTGCAGTGCCCTCAGTCCAGCCTGCTCCCTGCTTCCCGCTCCCTGCTGGGCGTCAGGGTCGGGGCCAAGGCCTGAAGGGCTGGGGCCACAATCAGACTCAGACCCTCAGCCCCAGCTCTTTGAGTCCCCAGTCCTGGGAGGCCCCGAAGACTCTCATTGCACAGGTCTGGACTGAGTGAGACAGCCCCTTCGGAGGAGCAGTGTCTGCGCCTCCGCCCTGTGGCTCCCCGGCTGCCAGGGACGCACAGCGTGTTGGAACTCCCGGATATCGGGTCCTGAATCTGCCAGTTAGGATGCCAGACTCAGAATCTGGCTCCTAAGAGACTAGAAATGTCAGAGTGACCCTCAGGACTGGGCCAGCTATGGCCATGTGAGGTCCCCAGCCCCTGGCACAGGCGATGGGTGCTCCTTGTGTATCTGTTCAGTGGGTGCAGCTGCTGTAAACCTCCACCTCCACCGCAGGTGGGTGCAGTCAGGGCCCCGTTTCGCAGGGGAGGAGGGACTGAGGCCTGAGGGAGGACGTGTCGTGACAAGGAAGGAGGATTTGGGGCTTTGAACCAGGCTCTGAACCCCACACTCCGAGGGACAGACTTCAGTCGGCTCTTCTGTGCCGTGACCGAGGTCGACGGCTGTGGGGCCTGGCCCTGGCCTTCGTCACCTCACAGGGATACTTGGAATTGGGACACTTGGAAACCAGACCTTGATTTGGTTTCTTCTTGATTCTGGAAGCTTTGAATTGTAAACTCTTGAACCGGAAGAGCTGGGTGATACCCTTGGAGCATCTAAAATTCCCCCAGTGATGTTCCCAGATTCCCCGGCTTCACCACAGCCTGCACTGCCCCCCTGCCCCGCCCCCTGCCAAACCCTCTAAGGGAGGCGCCTGGGAGCCTGCATTTTCAGTGAGGTGATTCTGGTCCTCACCAATGCCTGAGAACCTGTAGGGGCCAAGGGTTCTCTTGCACTGGACCCCAGCCTGTCACCCTGGAAAGGGAGCTGGTGGGCATGGGCCCCCGAAGCAGAGCTAATGAGCCCCCACCCTGTTTCTGCCCTCATGCTGTGGCGTCTGCTTCCCCACAGTGGCCAGAAGGAGCATCTGGTATCTAAGGAGGCTCACACCCCTGCCTGGGCTCCTGTCTGCCTTGCTGGTGGCCACCAGGCCCTGTGTCCCAGCTCCTCCCAGCCACCTCCCATGCCCTGCCCAGCTCACTCCCCCTCAGAGCCTCCCCCTGCCTGCGGCCCCTAGCTTATTACACTTCCTCCCTGTCCCAGAGCCGCAACACAGGGCGGCATTCTCCCCCCCCCCCGCCCTTCCAAAGGACCCTGAGTGGGTCTGTGTTCCCTTCTGAGGTTGCCCGTCATCACTCTTTTCCATCGCTTCTGTCAGCATCTGAACTCATCGCACCGCCTTTGTTTCTCCCTGCTGGGCTTCACATCCGGTCGGGCTAGAGGCCCACTGCTCGCGGCCGTGTCCCCATCCCAGTATCCCGAAGGTGGCCTGGGATGTAGCAGGTGCCTCATGGCAGTAGTCCACGGATTCAGGGCTCCCCCGACTTGCCAGGTGGGATCCTAAGTGCTTCTTTGCACCTATGGTTTTAATGCTCAGGTGGACCCTAACCCCACAGACCATAGAGGAGGAAGCTGAGAGCAGGCGACTGCTCTCAGACCTGGCTCGGGTCTCAGGAAGCCGTGAGCGTGAGCAGAGCTGGGGACTGGAACCCCGCCCACGCGTAGCCAGCCTGACACCAGATGCTGGCCTGTGTCCGCAAACTCCGGGCAGCAGACCTGGACGCCAGCCCCTTCCCCCTCCTGGCATCTCTGTGCCGCCTGCACACTCCCAGCCTGTGCAGTGACTCCGGGAGAATGGAAGATACCGCTGCGGGGGCTCCAGGACAGTCCGGTCCCCGCTGTCTCCCAGGCCCGCACGCCCCCCCCCCTCCCCCGCACTCACTTGTAGGCCACATCGCACCAGTCCAGTGTCCGCGCGTGGTAGTGCTGCACGTTCTGGGCCTGCTGCCGGCACAACGCCGGGGTGTCACAGTGGCTGCCCGCCGTGTGCGACACCACCACGTAATTCACCGGCAGGCTCAGTTTCTTCGTGCACCGGGAAGGCAGGGCGTTCCACTCTCTCCGAGGCACAATGGGACCGCAGCACGTCTCCCTCTGGTTTTCTTCTTTCGCTACTGCGAGTCCAAGGAGGGCGAGGAGGGCCCAGGCGAGCGGCGCACCGAGCAGGGACATGGTGGGCAGGCGCTCAGCGTTGGTGAGGAGCGTGGGGCTCCTCAGCTGCCTTTATATGCTGGGGCCTAAGGGTGGAGGGGTGCGGGGGGGGAGGGGAAGCCTTGCATCACGCTCTGGGGGGACTTCCTTAGCAGGTGACATTGGACCCCGACTCTGCTTCCTTTTCTGGACGGGCTGCCACAGGATGCCGTGTGGTTGGGGCTGAGGGAAGCAGGGAAGGGGAGCCCACGAAACCGTCAAGGGACCCCTTGTCCGGCAGAGCGGGGCGGGGAGAGGCGCACAGGTCCCTGGGCACTCTGCGCTATGGTTTCTGGAAGACTGGGGGCCTGGATCCTTGCCGGGCTTTGTCTCTTCTCTCAGCCCGGGGTTGAACAATTCACCAGGAGCTGAACCCCAGGGAGAGGCCTGGGGCCTCTTCCTTCTTCCAGCAGGGAATGAGGCAACAAAGACCGCCATTTTTTAGCCACTTCTCCCAGGCCCAAGCCCAATGCCGTTGAACCCTTTCAGCAGACCACAGAGGTGGGCGTGGGGAAGGCCATTTTACAGTTGGGTGAACTGAGGCTGGGAGAAGGAAAGTCACCTTGCCGAGACCCTAGTACATAGTGGAGCCTGGTGACCCAGAGCCCGTATTCAGAGCCAGGTTGCCTGCATTTGAATTCTGGCCATTTTCCAGTGTGTGGACTCCGGCAAGTGACCTAATCTTTCTGTGTCCCAGTTGCCCCACCTGCAGAATGGGGATGATAATGAATA